AGAGAAGTTAAAAAGAATGAAGCATGGCCTTTTCTCATACAGGGAATAAACTGTATTTCTGCTGAACTGAATTCTCCACAAGGGCAAGGGGAAGACTATGTACAGAGGAGTATTAAAAAAAAACAAAACAACCAACAAACCCCGAACAACAACAACAAAACCCAAACAAAAAAAACCCCAAGAAACCGTGAACAGAGTCACGGCATTCAGCGATTTCCAAACTTAAGCAGCGGAAGCGAACACGATCACCTCAGCAGGCCTTTTGCAAGACATCCCACATATACTTGGTCAGGCAACTGTAGTTTTTCTTTGAGCAAGCAGCAGCGAATTCCTGGGGCTGTGTTAATTCCTGTGCTCAGAATTAAGGTTTCCTGATACTTGACTTTTCAGAGCTTCTTTCGACTGCTCAGACTGTGCCATACTGAACTATCTGGCCTGAAGTTCACCTCAGGCTGGTTTGCTTTAGAAAAGAAAACCCACATCAGAATTCAGCATCTCCCCTCCCCAGTGACAGCTAATAAGTCTTCAACAAATTAAAAGCTTCTCTTTCGTTTCTCCTTTACTTCTCCAACAGCCTTTGAAGCCTCACTGCCCTCCTCTTCCTCCCCATTTTCTTCCTTGCTCTTAATAACCACAAATATTCCCAGAGCAGGGAGACAAACAATCAGCACCAACCTTTTTGGAAAGGGGCATAATGCTGCTAGGTCGAACAAGCCGTCGCTTCTTACAGCTCAGTACTGGGCGAGTGCGAGCTGCTACACATGTTCCATCCAAGGATGAAGAAACCATGTTCAGTCGTTGCTTTTTATGCAAGAGCTCCTCAGCTTCCTGGCCATCTCCCTGAGCATGTTCTGCCAGGCCAGGCTGAAGACTGCCCAAGAAGAGAAGAGAATACAAAAGATACTGTTATTCATTCAACCATTCCACGTTATCCAGCAGTACCAGTCAGGTTCACAATTCAGACCTTAGCAAACACTCTAGGCTGAGCTCAAAGCACTGCAGTTTCATGAGGCAATAGCTTTTACTAAGCCAACTCTAATTTTTGCTTTTACTTTGGTCACTTTCCACACTCTCACACCATTGAACCTTTGACAAAATACCTCTGGAAGTTCTGAACAAAAAAAGAGCATGTAAAGCCAGACACAAAGCAAGACCAAAAGCCACTCTAGACCTGAACAGGTTTAATCCTAAAATTCAGCTTCCCCCAGAATTACAGTTCAGGGCGTCTCAATAGAACAGGTTCTCATGAGTCTAAATGCCAGAAAGCACAAGACAGAGAACATATAATTTTCTAGAATAAATATTTAACCTTGATGTAAACTTGATTCTGAATAATATTTGAGAACTATACCTCTAAAGGTGCAATGTTAACATTAGCTTTTCTGGTTTACGTACAAAGGACTTTCCTGTCCACACGCAGTAACCCTGCCCTACCACGGCATCAATACACCATGCCACCTACCACCAGTGCAGCTCCTCACCTACAGAGCCTTTTCATGTATATTTTACAAGTGTTCCATTTCTAAAATTGCAAAACATTAAAGCTCAGTGGTCTAAGGCTCTGTAGTTCAAAGGCTACAGGCATATAAAGGGCTCTGTTATAGCCCGCAGTGTTTCAGCTGTAGCAATGAGTTAGTTGATCGGTGCTTTCTACGCCTGCAGCATCCCTGCCCAAGGTACTAAGCAAGTGCAACGGTGCTGGCAATACTTCTCTAGCACTACCAGAACACTTTGAAGCACCGTGTGTTCAAGGGTTTTCAAGTGGTTCAACCCTGAAATCACCCTGTAGCATAGAAGAATTTTTCACTTGTTTTCATTTACCCACTTAAAGACTTACTCAACAAAAACAGCCTGGAGAAACAAAGAATTTAGAAAGTCTTACTCCCAAAACCAGAGGGATTTGGGTTCCTCAGTATCTCCAGAAAAGTGGGCCAGTGGTTACAGATACTTCTGCAAAATAATTGCAAGCGGGCCACTAGTACCTTTGAATCATACAATTTGCAAGTGTATTAAAAATACCCATAAAGAAACAGTTTTGAACATGCTCATTGCATGGTTGCCTGCAGGGCTTGTTCATGTAAACACAGCTCAGTTTAATACCATTTTCAGAAAAACAATGTAGCAGAAAACCTCAAGCAAGCAATCTCCTCCAAGATGTTTCCCAGCATGATCTACTACCATACTTTTTTCAAAAAGAGACCATTTATACTGTTACCAACGCAGTTACTACCCACCAGCATGTTACAGGCTGGTTTCCAATGGGACTTTGTCAAGATCATAAAAATCAAACTCTTCCCATAATATGCAAGCAGCTTACGTGTTAATAACTCCATTGACGGGTCTTGGTGCTCCACAGGGCTTGGCGGGATGGGATTCGGGAGTATTTGCAGCAGAGATGCCCAAGTTCTCTAGTGGCTGGGATCCAGACACACTCTAAGGAAGGATGAGAAAGATCATAAATTAATAAAAAAAGCTTCTTAAATAGCCACAACTTTCTTATTCCCAGTTTCTAGTTGGAGGATTCTGCACTGTAGCTATGGGCTTCCACACAGGACTTCAAAACAAGGGTTCAGAAGTCACTATGTGAACAGGAGACTGGAGAGCTTAAGGACTTCTTAGGGGGCAGCTCACCATAGCGCTTTCAATGCAAGAACCAAAGGACTTCAATTGCCCTCAGGCAACCACTAAGGAGCATGAAAGGCTGAGGTCTTTAAGGATATTTTAGCATTTTGCCTCAATAGTACAAACAAGTTCATAACCACCTGTAAACCTCGCAGGCGTCTTCTGAAGTTTCATGTTGTGCTCTAAGCCACACGGCTGCAAACTCTTGTCTAAGCACTTTGGGGGAAAACAGGAGGAGAGGGAGAGGAGAACAGACTTGCAAAACTGAGTTTGCATTTTAGCCAAATACCCGTGCAAACACGGTCCAAATAGCATTTTACGAAGTATTTTAAATGAGTACACACACAAGCTGTGGTTTTTGGATATAAGCAGGCCAACTCTATAAAGCTAAAACTGTCTGATAAACACAAAGCTGGGAACACCTTTTTGGCAGGAAAAGTAAGTAAAAACTAAGCTAAAGACACAGAGCTCCCCAATCCTTTCTGCCTTAGGTTTGAAACACGAACGCCCTGGCCCTGCCGTGAGCAGCAGTTACCGTGTGGCTGCAGCACTGAACACCGCACAGCTCCCGCTGCCCCGCAAGTGGCCTCAACGGGGAGGGGGGACTGTCACCACGGCTTCCAAGGACACACTGGTTTTGTACCTCCTGCCAGTGACGTTCCTCCTCTCCACCCCAGCAGGTGCCGGCACGGTCCAGCGTGTTCATACCCCTGGCACTCATCGCCCCCAGTCTCATCCCTGCAGCCCATTCTTTTTGTTTGCAGACGTGCTCCTCCTCCTCCCTGGGGTTAAACTTTTCTTCCTCAGTGCAGCACTTCCTACACTCACTGCCAATGTCTCTCTAGCTGCGTTTCCCCCTTCACGCATACAAAGGGCGGTGGTACAGTTCAAGTACTAGTAAAAAAGACAAAGAAGGTCCGACTTATCTGCATAAACAGACAGACGGAGAGCCCCCCTGCTTGTCACACACTCCATCTCAACAACACTGGTATTGCATTGATTAAAACCTTCCCAGTCATCACTCCCCCAACTCAATGAACAACTAAAACCAGGCTACGGCAGCGCTGGGCTAACGGTTTCCAGAATAGCAGAGACCTGACTCACCAAGGGAAGAGCAATTCCTAACACCACAGACAACTTCTGCCTGCTGCCTGTTTGAGGAACTTTGCTGGGTTTTCTACACTTCTGCTAAAAAAGACATTTCTCCCCGGGGGCGAGCAGAGACAGGATCAGACCGATAGGCTCGCCTCTCACACTCGGTCTGAGTACGCTGAGGTAGGGGCAAGACCAGATCGTGCCAGAAGCGTTACGCAAGTGCAACACGGCACCCTGGCGAAGTGAAGTCAGTGCAGGAGCTGAACACTTTCCCTCTGCTCTCCAGAGGCTTGGCAAGGCTGAGCCTTCACGTGACGCCTCTGCTGGAGGCACCCACGGTTCAGGAGGGCGGGTACACATGACTCATAAGCTCTTTTGAAATAGGGTATTTATTTTCTTCTCCAGAAAGGGTCTTAAAGGAGGAACCTCTTCTCCAAGAGCTGCCTCCGGCTCGGTGGGTCAAGACAGGAATAGAGGGTGACCCCTCTGCTTCCTGCAGAGGAGCTGGAGAGCATCAATCCGAAGTCTATTTATCAGAAACAGCCCAGGCTCACCTCATCACACTGAAGATGGGTGTACCCTAACAAGGCTCCGACGTGAGCAATGGGGAAACAAGCAGGACTGCAAGAGCTGACATCTCCAGCATTCAGAGCAGGGGTTGCACCAGCTTCTCCGGAATGCACCTCCCAACACTGTGCCTTCCTCCAGGGCTGGCTGGGCACCCAGGCTGGGATCCCGAGGAGCATTCATCACACCAGGATCACATCAATGCTCCAGATTGAGCTCTTCTCTGTGTTTTGGGTATGCCGGGGGTCTGGAAGTCCAGGCCTTTAGGATCCCTAGGACTCTTAGCAGGGGTCGTCAAACATTCAGCTTTAGCACACCTGCTTGTCGCACATGAAACCAGGAGCTTGCAGACTACCAGGGGCTCTCACAGCAGTAAAGAAGCTGTGTGCTGGCAGGGAGTCATGACCCAACACCAGGAACGTCCTCCGTGTTCCCCAAAAACCCAAACAAAACCAGAGAGGTTCACACCTTCACCTATTACTAGATACAAGCCCCAAACGCAGGGAAAAGCCTTACCAAGACACTCCCATCAATATCTTTTCTCATTTACTATGAAAAATTAAGCGCACCCCCCTCGCTAGACTAGCAATACAAGCAACAAAGTGATATCAACAGCCGAGTTAATTCTTCAGGGCTTCGCGTTATTCCCATCTTCAGGCAAAAATATTGATTCACATACTGAGCTTCCAGTTCCCAACAGACATTCCCAGGCCTTCTTTGCAAAGCCCTTCCCTCCACTGATACAGGATTAGTTCCTCCTAGGGATTATCAGCCACATCCCACACATCAAGCCAATGCCAGAGGACATGTATCCTGCATCCACGCCGGCCGAGGGAGGTACCCATGAGTGGATGAGGTCTAAAGAAGAGCTGGGGATGAGACAGGATGGGTTCCTCCCCTTAGTCCACCTTGCAGGCCTGTCTCTTACTTTGCCAGTTGGGGGGTGGGGAGGAAGGGGACCCACAAAGAAAAAGAAGTGCCTAATTCTAAGCAGCCCGAGGAGCGCCAAAATGATAAGCACCTCTCCAGGAGAGGCCGCAGAGATACCCTTCCAGTAAGTGTGCTAACGCAACAGGAATGGTCTCTGGGCTAATCTCTGGCTCAGAGCAGATCAAGACCATGACTCAACACCCCACCCTTACGAGCAAGTCTAATTAAGCACAAACCCTCCAGCAGAAGGGTGTAGAAGCTGGTTGCCTGGAGGCAGCGTTTCTGGCGGCTGACACCTCCAGCACCGCTGCAGAGAAGCTGGCAGCGTGGAGTGATGTGCACGTCCACCAACAGCCACACGTGGAAGGGGAATAAAAAGTCCTTTTCAGGATGAGTTACTCTCCAAGACGGCAAGCAGAGCTGCAGGAGTAGCCACAAGAAGGTGCCAAGTAGGAACCTGCAGCCTGCTTTACATGGAAGATGTTGTTCTTCACCGCTCTCAGTATCTATTATTTGTGTCACTGTTACTTCCAAGACCTGCAAAAGAGATGGGACCTCCATCGCGTGAGCACCGCAGTAATAAAAGTCTCTGTCTGAAAAGCTCATACCCAACTGAAAGGGATGAGAAGAGGGACAATGCAGGAAATGAGTAAACACAGCAACAATGAGATGGCAGCGAGCAGCAAAACCAGACAGCACCGGCCAAGCAAGCATTCTTTTCCACACATCAGGAATCTACAGATATTTTCTATTCTATACATACAGACATGATGTCTAAGACAATCTAAAAAAGGACAATGTGATGATTTTGTAAGTATATGAAAAGTGTCTTTAATATGTAGGGACAAAGTCAGGTGGGACACAGTCCTTCAATCTGCAGATTTCCAGGTTGAAAATACGCATGTGTCAGATAAACAACCTGATTTAAACAGATAAGGAAGAAAATATTCTTCCTATCACTGTTAAATTTGATCATTTATCTCCATTATCAGCCTGCCATTTACAGATTAGCTCCCAAATAACAGCCAATTCATCAGTGCAGGAGCATGCTATTTCTGAAGCAAATTGGAGCACACCGTCACTGCGCTTGTTTATTATTCTCCAAACGCTTTTTGGGTTAAAGCATGAAAAGGCAGGGGGACATGCACGACAGACAGACATCACTGTTCAAAACCAGACACTGCGTAATGCTTGTGATTCAATCACGATCTGTAGCAGCCTCTGTCATCCTGGCTCTCCAGCCTCCTGTCGCTCCTCCAGCATGGCTCTGTTTTCATCTGAAGTACCATCTACTATTTCAGTCATGAGCAAAACCTGTTTATTGTACCAAATTACACAGCAGAGTTTTGGGCTCAGCTATCTGCTTATTAAAGACTTAAATTCCAAACACACATCTGAAAGCCAGTGTCAAGCAAGGAGACATTTTGTTACAATCACTCGTAATAAACCCTTTGCAGTCCGGCATTAATTAAAAATTTCACAGTATTTCAGATTATCATTCAGTATTAGGAAAACTCTGATAAAGTCTTCCCAGTGGTAGGAGAAAACACTCAAAGTACAATTTTACGGTCACTTCTAGTTAAGTTTTTTATCTGTATCAACTACACTGAATATTGGTCTATGAAACTCAAGCACTCCCACTGCAGTGAAGCTCTGTTTCTCCCCAAATGTGGCATTAGGACAGAAAAGCAGCAGCACTGCAGCTTGGTAGCAGGAGTTTGAGACACGAAGGGACCACCCGTCTCTTAGTACTACACCACAACTTCAAAATCCTCCATTTTTATACGTCAATGTGTCCCAAAGGATCAAAAGTAATCACAGCCAGGCTGAACAGTACGATCCAAGTCTTTAGTCTGTGGCCTACATTTCTGCATTAAATAATAAATACCTGGCACTCTGCATAGTTTCCAGTGCATCTCACTGAAATCATTAGTTCCCTTTCCAAGGGGTAACACTCAGACAGATATTAATAGCCACATCTTTAGAAGCCTTTACTAATTGCGCTGCTCTCGGTTTGAGGTGCTTTTTTGCTAGAGGGAAAGGATTAGTTAGGATTTTTAAGCTTCAGAAAATGCTAACGCATATTACAAAGGTACCCCGAGGAACTCTGTTCTAAAAGGTGTTTAAATCCTATCGTTTATTAACCTCAAAATAATCTGGGAAGGAGCAAGCTACACAGACCAACAGACTGGCAATTCCCAGGTGAAGTCCCACAGAGAGACGCTTCTGCAGGAGGCCAGTCCCATGCCAGACACACTGTTCAAGCATCTCTCTCCACCGCAGCTTAAAGGATGAACCTTCCCTACCCAAAATTCATGAACGTGAAGTATCTGGACCCAGCCATTTCTGCTGCTGGCACTTACCAGCCGGTCAGCCCCAGGCTCCAGCTTAACTTCAGCACTAACAGGACGGGATGCATCATCTACTGCAGGATCAGGGGGTGATGCTTCACCAAGAACTATCAGCCCCTGGAAGAGAGGGAACAGGAATTAACTGCGGGTCCTTTGGTCTCAGCACGGAAACTGCACATCCATCGTCCCCCAGAAACTACAACCGCTGCACAGCAAGGCTTGCATTCCTACCGCATTTTTCAGACATGATGCCAAACCGAACCCCGTGCTGCCTGGATTTTCCTGACATCCAAGCTGAACTCTGAGGGGGAAGGACAGTGGCTGAAGCCAGATCACATGCCTTCAGCCCATTAATAGCAGACAGTTAGCTCCCTCTCGGGCAAAACTGCTGAAACGCCACTGCCGTCCCACTTCCCACCCTTTCCCCTCCTCCCGCACGCGAGGAGGTTCAGCATGCCAGCAAAACCAAAGAGAACATTTTGCTGTAGTGCAGAGCAGGAAACGACTGCTTTCATAGTACAAAGTGGAACTCACCACCACAGCCAAGCAAACAATTTTGAGCAGGTGCCAAAAATCTACGGTCAAACTTGTTACTCTGAGCAGATTTTTTCAAAGAAGTGATATTCACAAAATTCAATAAGGAAAGAAAAACACTGATACACAAGCCATTGCTATAAACCTAGCGGGACAAAGCACAGTTGTATCCGGCTTAACATATGTTGTCCTGTTTATGTTTTACTCTAAGTGAAGCTTACTCTAAAGGCAGGACCTGCTTTCTCTCTGAACCACACACAGTAAACTAAAATCATTATAATTACAAATTTTCTGAGCTATATTATAACAAAGCAGGATAAAATGTGCCAGGCATTACAGAGTTGGTGGAACCTACACGGCGTGAATACAGTCCAGGACAAAGACAAGCCAGAGCAAGTTTGCATTTGGTCAAACAAGGAACTATGGAAAGGGCTGCTCAGGTTAAGAACGGGTGGATCAGTCATCTGAAAACAATTCTGGAGGTTGCACAGTGTGCCACAAGAAAGTGAGCCTGGAAGGGAACCTGGACACGTTATCTGGAGAGAGGAGAGAGCTACAAGGCTTCCCTCAAAAGTCCGCAAAGTCAAATCTTACATGACCAATGCCATGGCACGTGCCCATGGAAGTCGCTCATAATGCTGATCTTACGCCTTGACACAATCTTCTATACAACAGATCGGTAGCTTTCCAGAAAGATAGTCTAAACTCAATTACATACTGCTGTGCTTTTTCCTCTACTCTTGAAAGATCCCTCTCCGAAAGCAACCCACCACATTTCGGCACTGCTTCTAGATACATCCTCAGGCATGCTTCAGCAAAGAGGCTGGTCATCCCCAGATCTCAGGTGTAGGAGATAGTGGACATGAAAAAAGGGAAAAACTGGGACTGAATGCAAAATTGGAACCCAGGAAACTGCTTCCCTTTGACACTCCGGAAAGCACCCTGGGCTCCTCATTTACTCAGCAAGAGAACAAGATGGGGAAGCACGGGCATCAGAACAGAAACAGCCACCAAGGACTTCTGCCTCCAGTTTAAAGGAAGAGGATGAAGGGAGCTGCTCCATGCCTCAGGAAGGAGCACTAACTGATTTTATATACTGTGGGTATTTGTTTAGAAGTGTGTCCCTTTACCGGTGACTTTGAAACAGAAGCAGCACTTAACGCAGCCTTCCCTGTGACAGGCACAGTTTTGGTTTCTGTGCCTGCATACAGAAGCTGCACTGCCCGAACGCTGTGCACCCCAGTCGTCCTCTCCCAGCTCTTCGCCCACGAGACAGCCTCTGCAAACCTACGGACCTGCAGGCTGGACAGTACTTTCCTGCTGAGTGCGCTCTGCTTGCTTTTAAGAGTTTTGAATCTCTGTTATTTATACATTTCTGAATAATACAGAGGAATTAGGAGGGCAACATCAAATTTCCAATTCTCTTTCAGGAAAGGGAAAGGAGCAGCACATGTGAATTATTCCAAGGTCACACAATACGTGCTTTCCATCAGCATTCTCCAAAACAAAGAAAAAAAGGAAGCAGCCGCCCCCATTCCCCCCCCCCCCCAAAAAAAGACAAGTCTGCTGCTCCTTTACTCCCATTTTTATTACTAATTATGGTATTAATGAGAGCTCAATTGCAGAATTGCAGAGGTCTCAGATAGAGAGAGATACGGAGACAGATCTCATAGTCCTGTAATAGTCAGCAGCCTCTGCCAAGGAACTAATGGGTGAGAAAGAGGACTGACACACATTAAGATACATCAGAAAGAGACCGAGTGTCCTAAACAGCCCCGCACAGGGATAGCAGCATCCCTTATCCTGCTCTAAGCCTGACATATCACTGCAGACACAGGAAACTCCTGTGAGAGCTGCAAATTCCTTCAGCAATAGGCTCCTCTTAACTCCCATCTCCCACCCTTCCCATCACATGTTTCTCTTGACTTAGCAGCTCCAACCAGAGCGCAGCCGTCCCCACGGGATAGGCTGCACACAGATCAGACCAAAAGCTCGAAGGGAACACAGTGAAACTGTCTCAGATGGTCCAGGAACAAGTGGAACCTGGGTCTGCAGAAACGGTGTGCAAAACAACCCCATCTTTAAGGAGTTTCGGTCACTGTATTTCAACCAAGTCTGCCACTGCACAGAATTCCTGCAGGAGCCCTTCATCTTAATTTATCTCCTACTCTCTCTAAGAGTGAAACTCCTAAGAGACACGGAAAGAGAGGAAAAAAATGCTGTTTGTTCCTTCCCAAACATGGAGCATCTGCCACCCCCACACATGCAGGGAGGTGTAAAGACCAGCGCATGGGGGGGACACCCCGCCCCCCCCAGCACGGTGCCACACCCCATCCCAAAAAGGCCCAACACAGCACATTTGTGAAAAGAAACAAAACCACCTTATGACCTTCACGGACACCTAGTCCCTTAAACTAACTGTACACGCTCTTCAAAACCAACACAAAATCAAACGCACAACAGCCCACTATGTTTAAGCGGCAGAAAACACCGTACTTTACAACTAACTTTGACCACATGCTCACTGATTTGTTGTTTTCCTCCACATCTCGCCATGCTCTGACTGAGCTGATCCAAATGTGCTGAAAACACAATTACTGCTGAGACACCCAGGCAGCAGTGTACCTTCAAAACAGAACATTATTTTCGACTGCCTGGTCCTTCTCTTGCTTTGCTTTGACAAAGCAATGCATCTTCCTTGAAGGGTGCACTGGGATGTAAACCTTAACATATAGAGGTAATTAACCTAAAAAAAAAGAATAAAATGGAATAGCAACTTTGAACTCCTGCAGCAGCTACACTGTAACCTCCTTATGGCCAAGTAAGCTAGAGTTAAGTTACGTAGATAGAAAGAACAAGGTGTCTCCAAATTCTTTAATTGTTGTCCTTGTACAATTTGAAGCCAAATCCATTCCAACAAGACTCCTGTATTACTGAAACATGCACTCGTTTCTCTAGTCTCCTATACTTGTCCCAAGCTGCTTTTATGAATCTTACTCTGAGTTTTTCATTGAACACGTTTTACAAGGCATCCTTGAGCTCAGTGACACCAAGACAACGACAGCTGGGTGCAAGCAGTGATCTCCATGAAGTCCTATCGGAAAGAAGGGGTATTTGATACTCGCTTTCTTGTTCAGGCAGAACAGCCACCATCAAATGCTCAACATCTGAACTCTTCTGCCACGGTAAGTGGCATGCTTTATTTTAAATTCACGTACCGGCTTACTGCAGTTAAGGAGTTTTTGTTTGAACAGATCAAAAAAGATGACATCCTGTTTTCCACAACCTCAGATGTACTTTTCCACTTTGACACAATACTGTGATGTTCTCCTTTCAGACCCAGAGACTGCAACCTTAGATAAAAACATATGGGATGCTTGTAGCCATTATCAGTTGCCATCATCTGGTGAAAGCACTGACTCTTCCACTTCGTTAGATAAATTTTCTCATTTCTTCTATTACTTAACTTTTAGCATATAAACGTTTAGCTATTTTGTGTTTTATACTTAGAAACCACCTTGTGTGATCAGCTTTCTTACGACAGAAGGAAGACAATTCTTTCTGAAACCGGCTCGTTAGTCTGACATACGGGCCACTTCCCAGAAGCCTTTTGCTCTCACCTCAGGAACGTCTGCCGTTCAGCAAGCCGTGCTCTTCCACCTAGCCATTCGTAGGCCTCGCTCGCTCAGTTAGCCTGTTTTTCTACACAGCTGCATGAAAGTCCAGCCTCCCCCACCTGCCTGTGCTTTCTGCACACCTGGAAGCCTCTGAAAAAAGAGCGCCACACATCCTGGGAAAAGCGTTTGCTGGACCCTGAATTCCTGAGGATCTGTAAGTTGACGCAATACCATGAGCCTTCTTGCCACAAACTCCAGACATTCTTCCCTCCGAGGCCTGGCATTTAGACGTGCATGCCTGGACAAGTCTCCATCACAATTACTTCCTCATCCCTTCTCTGCTCTCCCCCATTCTCCTGCCATCTGAGAGCAAGTCTGAAAAAAATAAATCCTTCCACAGAGAAAGGTCAGCACCTAGAAACAGTCTTTTTTATGATACAGACTCAATTTTAAGCCTGTGCTATGTGATAGCATCTGAAGCTAACTTCCTCCACAGTCCCCTCCCTTCCCCAGTAAGTCTTGTTAAGTTGTTCCTTATCCCCATGTTCAGTTACTCCCCCCAAAAAAGAATGGGAAGTTGTTTTGTTTTGTTTTTTTTTTTTTTAATCAAATAAAAATAGAGAAAGGCTTGAACAATGGGGAACAGCAACACGCATGCAAAAGCAACAGTTTTATTCAGTACCCAAAACCTGATTTTAAAGTAAGGTATTGCTCTTTCATGTTACCGTATTGAACCAGGGAAAAGAATTACACTCAGACCATGCCAATAGCATTACAGTCAGTCACAACTGTGCAATACACTTTTTGAGAGATGCAGGGAGGGAAAAAGCATCAGACGTTGCATACACACTCTCCGCTGTATCAGAAAAGAAAGCCATTAGGAGGCAGACAAAGCAAAATCACATGTATCCAAATGCACTCCTGGTCCTCACCTTATTGGCTCTAATCTGCTTGTAAATGTCCGTTTGCTGTCGGATTCGGTATTCCAGGTCCGAGACATGGGCTTGAAGCCAATTCCAGCGACTGACGATGGCTGCACGGTCTGCTGCCCATCTCCACTCTGCCCTTCGCCTCCTGGAAAAACAGAGCGGGGAAGGGGGGATTATTTTGAGTGTGATTTTAATTATACAGTCCACAAAAAAACCTAGCAGAACTGACAGATAGATCAAAGCTACATACTGAATGGCACGACTGATACCATCTAGCCACTGCTAATAATTACCAACCGAACTACAGACTGCTATAAAAGCCATGCTTCCGCAGAGCAGTATTAAAACAACTTTCGATGCCCAGTGATTGAAGTCCTGCCTATGCAAGCGTTAAGATTTTATACCACGCTTAGCTGAACCAGCAGCTCCAGTCCTACCTGTCCACATCCGCCAGACCCACTTTTCCAAGTCTTGGAGAAAACAAAACCCATCTGCCCTCCCTTCCTCCACATAGCCTCTTTACAAAAAGACCTCTGTCATCAGTCACAAAATATGCCCGAACACCAGCGCGTACCACGTGGCCACAATTAAAACTCAGCAGCAAGTTTCACAACACACCATAATTTGGTTTTAAGAGTAACCACCGTTTGGAAACGAGCAACAGAGCTAACAGCGCCTTGCACAAGCTGCTCCCCTGCAACGACGTGTTGCAAAGGAAAGCGGGCAACAGTAAACTTGATTTCTGCATCTGATGGCTTGACTGAGCAAACAAAGCAGCCAGGAAAAAACATCAGAAAATTACCAAGTGAACAACTTCTCTTGATCTCCGGGGCTCAGAGGCGCAATGTGAGAGAAGGCGAGCACATGTGGGTGCATGGGGAGAACCCACACGCTCTGCAACTTTTGACTGGTTTCCTACCTTCTTTATCTCTGCTGCGAACACAAAGTATGGTTCTGCAAGAGCATAAATATGCTTTCACTAGTGCATGGACTACACCATTGCATTTTACGATCAGCTGTTACAAAAACACCCTTACTCCCTACTACCGCACTCCTAGGCAGAAAGGAACACAAAGACAGTAAGGTACTTACAAATCCATGGCTCCACTCTCCCACATTAAAAGCCATATTATGATGAAAATACACCCTTAAGCATCCTGATTCCGGTGGATAAATATTACAGCTACCCAGAAAGGAAGAAAACCACTACATGGTGCAGAAACAAAGCATCAGCAGAAAGTGCACGCACAAATCCAGTGCCACTGCAAAAAGCCTTTGCCATAGCTGGGTGTTTGGCAACTAAGGAATTAATCACAAAATAATTCCCTTTGCCCATCTCCCCCTCCTTCTGCCGCATTTCTGAACCCAGCAAGAGCACATGGGGCAGCGGAGCCACAGCAATGTCCGGCTTTTCAAAATCTAACCAAGAAGTCTTCTGCTGAGATTAACCCATTTCAAAGCTGAAACCAGCCATTATAGCAAAAGCAGCACACGGTAAATGAGATTTACTACTGAAGCACCTCCAGCTGCAGAGATGGTAAGCAACAGCAATAATCAAGTTCTTAGAAAAATCTGCACCTCCTATGCATCTGCCCTTATTTAGGTGTACTGCTACAAAATGCACTTGCCTAAAAAAAAAAAAAAAAAGCACCACGCTTATTAGAAGTTTCAAATCAACTAATAGAAATACCCTGAAAAGGATGAGCCAGTTCCTTCGAACTGCAAGCAAAACCCACAAATTTAGAACAAGACACATTCTCCATATTCTTGCTGGACCTCCCGGCTGCGTGGGCGACGTCGCTTCAGTGCCAATTTAGATGAGGCCAGATTTCCACCAAAACGGGCAATTGTATCTGCTGCCTACAGTCCTCCCAGTTCTCTCCAAGACCATTTTCAAGGCACTTTTAGGAGCTTAAGTCCTTCTCTCTGAAATATTTCCCTGCGTAGAGTGCCTGCTCTATTTTCATCAATGCTGACCTTATGTTCGGTGGAAATTTTAATATTTATTGTAGATGGATGCCACAGCAAGGCCAGACCTTAATCTTCCATCAGTTACACCGAGGATACAGTCAGCAGAGCCCGAGACGAAAGGCGGCCGAGGCAGCTGAGCACCGGGGCTGGGTAAAGGTCTGGCATACCCTACCAGCAAGGCAGGGCGACCGCAGGGTTAATCTGGTTTACAACGGGCTGAGCAGCTGCCAACACCACCCCAGCATCACCTGATCACGCAACTCTAATCCAGATCTCCAGCCCAGTCATGCTTTACTCTCTTCCAAGAATCGTAATGCCTTGCAAGCTTTACGGTCCCTCCTCCCCACAAGGGATCTCCAGTTTGAGCCTAAATGGCACAAAATCCCCTCCCCACAACACCGGAAGGTAGAAAAGCGCCGTTTGGGAAGCAGATCCCTTATCTCGCAGGGGTGTTTCTCTGGGTGTCGCTGGAAAAGCAGCGCTGCTCTGAATCACCCGCAAGATTGACAGCATTTTCATGTTGTAGTTTCCCACAAGACTTTCCAGAACACGTTCCTTCTCTGCCAGCCAAGTTTCAGCGAAATTCTACCATACTCTAATTTCAGAAGCTAAGAACAATTTTACTGGAGAAGAGTTCGTCTTTTTTTAATAGCTTAAAAACAGGAAAGACCTCTGCAATGGCTCTGTCTGCTTTTATGGTATCTTCAGCATCTGTGGGTGCAATAGACTATCCGGACCCCTAGAAAATTTAGTACTCTTAAGCCAGATCTCAGCAGGCTTCAGTTTGCTCTCTGGGGATCCACACAGCATTGGGAATTGTTTTTAGAAATATCAAAAGCTGCTGAGAGCACCTCCAAACTGCCAGCTTCATTGCTTGCCTCTGCAACATTATAAGCACCTATGCCAGCTGGAACAATACTGGCCTGCTCCGTTAAATGCATCTCATTCTTTTGCTCAGATTACACAGAAATCGAGATTAAGTATAAAAAACGCCTTATGCCCATTTAGATTCCTCAGTGACATGGCAGTGTAAGCAGGGGCACCCCTGCTCTTCACCTTAAAATCAGGACACATCCCACCCCAGAAAAACCCACTGGCTTTAAACCAAAAATAAACCGAGAAAGCGAAACACAGTAACATATAGTTCATCCTCTGACACCCTGCAGCATAGGTGGAGGGGAAGATACATAATGATGGCTCAGCCACGCTTTCCAAAACAGTATTGAGCGTAGTGTGGTCCTCTATATTTAGAATTAAGCCTTTTTCAGAGCCTGTTCAATTACACCCTTTGCCGTGATGTGCTGTCAGCAACATATATGTGTTCTCCTCATGTAGATCAGCTTTTGGATAACAAGCTATGTAGCTTCTTTAGCTTTAATCTCTATACAAATATTTTGAAAGAACCATTATTTTCTCGACTAGCACTAGAAAGTAGCAGCCACACACAAAATACAGCATCTGAAGTCGCTGCAGGCAGCACCAGCAGTCACCTGAAACCTCAGCCAGACACCCTGCTCTGGGGGGGGAAACCCACTTCCTTTCTTTCTAAACATTAGGGATTTGAACACGACAATTAGTGAAAGAGTTTATTACACTTGCCCGAAACAGGTTTTGGATTAAGCTGAAGACGATGACTGAAGAGACTGCCAGATGGTTGCAGAAAGCACTGTCGCTGCAAGTGGGCTGCACGGCTCATCTTGAAAGTGGTCTTGTGCTTCAAGAGGCAAAGCCGGCGCAGGGAGTAATGTGAGCAGCAGCAAAGCAGTTAAATACTGCATCCTCCAAGGGAAACCATTCATCATGCTGCTGCGCCCGTGTGCTCTGTGCAATTGCAAGCACTTGCACGAAACAGGCTACGGAGAATGGCGTGGGACAGCCCCTCTGGCTGGGACAGGAGGATAAGCTCATGGAACACCACAGAAAATGAATTATTTAGGAGCCTGATCCTCTTAAAAAACAATTTTGCAGGTAGACTCAATTCCCCTTCTGCAAGCACCAGTGTGTGCAGGAGATCGGCCTCAGCAGACAACGTGACGGGAACAGCAGCCACGCCTCGCCCGCACGCACCCGGCTGGTGCGGCACTCAGCTTGACCGACAAGGACAGCGTCCTGCAAACTTAAGCAGATGGTGCTTATTGTGAATAGTGCATGCACACAGGATCAGCAGCCTTAGGTCTCCTCGCGCGGACGGAACCCGCACGTGCCCGGAAGGTGCCCAAGAGGGCCGGGAGGCTGGGAGGAGGAACAAGCAGGGAGCCAAGCCAAGCTCAGCCCGTGGGGTTACAAACACCCCAGGAGGCTGCAGGGCTTCACAGGAAGGGGGCAAGGAAAGGACGGGATCCCTCTCCCCATCTGTGGCAGAAGACCTCAAATCCTGCCCTTTGTGGCTGTATCCTCAAACTGGTGCTGACAGCTCCCGCCCCGCAGTGCCAGGCTCCTAGACATGCTGTACCGTGCCCATCTCTCCAGCAGAAATGCACAGCCTTTAGGAAACTACAGGAAGAAACTTTACCAACATGACAAAATTCTCAGAGGTAAACACTTCTTCCTAAAAAACAGCTGTTAGTTTAATATGACTACAGAAGGGCAGGGGGAAAAATAATAAATCCTCTGTTACATCAGCCCAAGTCCTCGGGATGGGGTCCAGTCCTTCCCTAAGTAAAAAACAGGCAATTGTGGGTTAAAATCAGTTATCCTAAATGGTAAAGTCAACTCCAGAAAACCCACCAGCCAGGTGCTCCTGCCAGGCAGCAGTGCCAACGGGACAGAAAGGAGACTCGCTCCCGCCGGCCCAGCGAGCTGCCAAGGGGCAGGGCAGCCGGCCCCACACACCGCACAGCTTGGGTTCAGCTATTTCAGAAAAGGGTGTATGCTCTCATTTTATTTTTTTTTTTAATAAGCAGTATAAATACAGCCCTGCCAATGAACATGACAACACCTCGGTCGATGCATTTCCATGGGTACAACCCGTGCTAGACCCAGTTCAGTCATCTCGGCAGTCACGGTGCTGTAAAAGCTGTACAGGCTCCCCATCAATGAGCCCTCCCCTAACACAACCTCCACCTATGATACGTGCTTAAACCAAGCCTATGTACAGAAATCAAGTCAAAGCTGTCCACGAAGCACTTCTGGGTGAAGATGCACAGGGATCTTTCCGCTTCCAAGGAACGGCAC